AAATTTTAATCAGATTTGCAAATTTATGACAAATAATCTACATCGAACTCTATCCTTAAACTTTCAACCCTTTAATATCTAATTTAAAAAATAGTAATATCTACAATGAAACATATTTTTCATACTACTTCTCTTCTCAAACATATTGGTATAACCAGAATTAAAAATTGGCTAACTAATACTGCTTCTAAGTTTTTATTAAAAACAAAAAGCTTTACATTTATCTTCCAACTTTCATTTTTAAATAACTTTAATATTTTTTTTTTATTTAATAATTTACTAAACTTATTTCTAGCTAATATTCCTATATTTACAAAAACAATATATGATATTCTTTCATCTAATAATTCTTATTTACTAATTAACAGCCTACTAAACAATAAAATACTCTTTATTGAACAACTTACAACAGCTAATAATTTATATATTCTTTTATAGAACAACATATATATATGTACTAAAAAATCTACTCATGAACCTATTTTATCTTGGTTTATTAAACTTTTCAATCTTATTCAAAATAATACAATTTCTCAAACATGGCCATGTCTTAAGCTACTAAATATTAATACCTTTATCAATTCTTTTGACACAATTACTCTTTATCACCTATTATTATTAAATAAATAATCGATTGTTTTTAATAATTCACAAATTCTCTTTACAAAAAACTCACTTAACTTTTTCTTCTTTTATAACATTTCTTCTGATTTAATATCTCTAATTTTTACTAACTTACCTACATCAATATTTCAAATTTCTATTAATATTTCTTATATTAAATCATTAAAAAAGAATAACAACTATTTATTCTATATTAATAATTATAAAATTCATACATTTATTAATATTTAATAATATATAATTTCAATTCTAATATTATCTTAATTACTAACTATTTACATTCCTAACACAGAAATTCAAATAATCCAAAAAAACATATCTTCTTCTCATTATCAAAACCAACTTATTAATCTATTTCTATTAACTAAAAACCTTCCAAATAATACTTATTTTTATACAGATGCTTCAATTATTAATGTACAAATATCACATCCAAAAATTAATATTGGATGGATCTCTAAACATAATATCCAAATCAAATTTAACTGTACAATATCTTCATATTCTGACTCTATTCGAGCAGAGCTTAAAGTAATTATTTATCTTCTATTCATTCTCCCAATAAACTCACAAAGTAATATATATCTTGACAATCTATCAGCTCTAAAAAACATCCAATTATTTCCTTATTTACACAAATTCTTATATATTAAAAACTGAGATATTTTATTTATTATTCACTATTTTATTCAAACTAAATCTCTCAAAACCTCCTTTCACAAAGTTAAATCTCATTCTAATAATTCCTTTCATAATTAAGCTAATCTCTTAGCTAAACAAGATACCTCTAAACACTTAATTAAATTCAACTTTACAACATTACTTTCTGATCATTTTATATAGCATGATTACACAATATCTACTAAAACCCAACTATTTCTACAAAATACAATTACTATACAATTACTTCTTTCTTGATCACAACTTAAATCCTTTTAAAACCCATTCTCTATTAAATGGTCAAAAATGTTGACATTATTAATTCTTTAAATAATAATATACTTTTTGTCTTAAAATTATTAATAACAATCTACCTACTATGTAAAACCTTAACTTATGATATCTACTCTTATATACTACTCCAAATTGCATCTATTGTTAAACTCTTGAAGATATATTATATCTCTTTACATGTTCTAAACAAAAATATAATCTTCAACAAATCCTTTAAACTTTAATTTTAAATACTACTTAGCAATTAAATATTTCTTCTGAACTTTTAGATAAAATCTATATTATCTTGTTACAACAAACAAACACTCCATTATACTTTTATTTTCTTAATCTTATCAAAGGCTTCTTCTCTATATCTTATTACAATAATGTTAAAATATTACTTTATAAAATAACATCTTCCTTCTTTATAGCCCTATCAAATGCTATTCTAAATTGATTTTACCAATATATATGACTACTATATAATATTTTTCAACAACAATAGAAAAAAGCTCACAATATAACTAAAAAATCTAAACATTTAAAAATATATTTTTTAACTCTATCTTCTTAATCTAATTCTAATATTACCAATATACCTATTATAAATCTAACTATATCTATTAAAAACTAGTTAATTCTAGACTATATATTTACTAACTGTATTTACTAAATGCCAAAACTATTAGCTTAGATTTTCTTCAACCTTTCTATACTTAAAATTAATTTGAAATAATTAATAATAATATAATATAGAAATGGAGATGTAATGTCACATTGGGTGTCTTAAATAAGTAACACAAATGTAGTTTAGAAATCTTTAATATAATTATTTTTATTATCTAATAAAGTTTCTATTTTGATATAACAAAAAAAAAACCAGCATTACTATAAAGACTAATCTGAAAAAACAGATACCAAAGTCCTAGTAATTGAACAACTAAGAACCTTTAAGTTAGGAATCTTAAAAATACTACTAATCAAATTACTAGAACAAACTAAAAAAAAAAGATATTAAACTAACCTAATATATCAATAGACTGATTATAGTTCTATATGAGCTATCTGAATTGAAAGTTTGATAAAATTCAGAAATATACTAAAGTATTAAGATTATATTATAAAGTAAATACTAAGATCTAAATAAATTCTACAAAAATACAACAGTTTAATGGTTAAGTTCTGATTACAAGTATTGGTTCTATTATAGTGATATCTAGATCAATTATAAAAATAGATACAGAAAGCTTTGAGAAGTTTATCTTGAAAATAAAATAGTTTTAAGGTTAAGATAATGATCTGAACATTTAGATATAATCTAATAAGTTAACATAAATTACAGATTCAAAAGCTTTAAAATAAAACATTTAAGCAAAAATATTAAATATAGCAATTGATGAAAAATCTTCAGGCAGACTTTTTAAATAGATAATATAAAAAAGTTACATATATAATTAATTATATGCTCTTCTGTAGTTATTTATAAAATTGCATTACTAAAAATTATTAATAAAAATCAAAAAACTAAAAATATTACCTTAATATTAAAAAAAAAAAATTTAATTAACTGTATAACATTTTTTATTATTATAAAATCTTTTGATATTTTATTTATTTATTCAATATTAAACAATATATAAATAGCTAATATAAAATTTTTATTTTAAATAATTTTATTTTATTTCTTACAATAAATTATTATAAAAAAAGGTAAATAAAAACTAACTTTTTGTAGTTAATAAATAAAAAAGTTTAAATTTTGTTGTAATTAAATGTGATTGATCAATTACATGTGATTTTCGTATAGTCAAATGATCTAGAATAATGTGATCAACATTTCTATACTATACAAGATGCTGTTTATTTTTGGTAAAATCTTTAACTAAATTAAAAATAATTAATTTTTTTGCTAAAAATTATCTATAACTCAAAATTCGCATAAGAAACCATCTTTTGTGCTCTAACAAAAAGTTTTTTTTAAGCAATTGTACTATATATCTTTTTATGCCAAACCCTAGTATAAACGCTAACCCTAATAATAACAAACTTTTAAGAATTTTGTAATTCTAGCCAATTAGATTGAAGAAGCAGGTGAAACGTAAAAATCACGTCTTTTTAAAAAATCGGTATTAACTCGAAATTTCACTTATGAAACTGCCTTCTGAGTTCAAGCTATGCCCTCCACTTAATTGATTTTACGTTACACCTGATCCTTCGCAACTACCTCAGGATCGCCAGAAAAATTACTATGCAATTTTTACTGTCACGTGACGATCGGCGAAATGGCTCGATTATTATAACGTTACGCGATCAGAAAAAACCCATAAGAAACCATCTACGCATTAACGAAAAGTTTTCTTTGAACGATTGTACTATTAAGACCTCTAAATTCTAATACTAGCATAGATTCTAACCCTAACTTAAACGAACTTAAAGAATTTTGTCGTATATCACGTGATAGTAAAATTTTCTGGTCATCGCAAAAAAGTCACGTGCCTTAAAGGGTGAGCTATCTACGGCGGAGCTACTAATGTCCCTGAAAAAGTTGCAATCACGTGAGGACCGAAATCCTTTAAAGTTCGTTTAGATTAGGGTTAGGGTATATGCTAATGTTAGGTTAGAGGAGGTTTAATAATAAATCGCTCAAAGAAACCTTTTGTAGGTGAGCTGCTAATGTCTTTTTCAGGCGATACTGGTAGTTTCACCAAAATTGCACCGACACGTGATTTAGTGTGGCGCATTATTCAAAAACAAACGTCCGTTTTGTCAAATATCTCCTAATCCCTTTTGTTCTCTAATAAAAAGGTTCCTTGAGCAATTTTACTATATACTAGTCTAATGTCCAACTCTAATATAAGCTCTAGCCCTAACATAAACGAACTTTAATTTTTTTCGATGTGACATTGATCACGTGCCAGTGAAATTTTGGTGGCGATACTGGGGCGGTTGACGATCAGTATCAAAAAGAAAATTTTAGAGTATATAATCATCAGAAATCCTCCCCTGCCATGGACACATTCGTTAAAACCTTTCACGCGAGCATGTTGCCTGATACCCGGATCATGCGGAAAATTATGATCATGAATAGCAAATAATAAGGAAGGTAATTACTTTTTTAAAAACTGTTAGGCTCTTCTTGCAGAAAAGTCACTTATAATTATTTTCATTTATTGCATGCATCTCAATATAACCGTTAGACCTAACATACCAATTTATTAATGTATCCTGCTTAATCGTTAAATTACTCCGAAGTTCTTAATTTGTGAATGAAACGAAATTTTAATAATTTATAACATTTAATAAATTTTACCGGTTTTTTAATGATATTATTGACAGAAAATGGGGCATATATTTGGTTTCGGCTATTATCTCAACTAAGTAGAACCTTGATTCCCATCTAAACTACTCAATATCATTCAAAAAATGGTTTTGTTATAACCTTATTGTTCTCGTCTCCTATTTTTTAGAGAATATAAAATTTATAATGAGTATAATACGCGGACTTTCTCATGTAATTAATATAATTAATTATAAAATCAAACCTTGGTGCACATCGAATAATATCATCAACACGTAAAATCATCTCTGCAGCTTCTGATGCACTAAGTAACACTTGGCGTTTAAGTTTGTATGATTCTGTAATTCCAATTTCTCGCATATCTCCAATAGTATTGTTCGTCATATCTTCCAAATTACCAAACAAAGACCGTTAATACAAATTTAAAAGTAAGTTAATAAAGATTCAAGCTTACCTAATCCAAATGTAGACTTTCCCTCATAATGCGCAGCACGCAATCTGGCGACAAGATCTGCACTGTCATAACCAGCATTATCAGCCAAAATGGTGGGAATCTATCACATAAATCATGCAAAGAGATTGATGTAGCTCGATTTTTTTTTTCTTTCTTGAATATTGTAATTGTTAACAAAGGACAAATGTTCATTTACCTGTCTCAAAGCCTTCGCGAAAGATTCCACGGCAATAGCTTTCTTACCAGCTGTTGTCACAGCTATTTCTTCAACTGCTTTAGACATAAGCATTTCAGAACAACCACCACCGAGAACGGTACGTGTTTCTTTTACAGTCTGTGTCAGTACACTTAATGCATCGTGTAAAGATCTCTCTGCCTCGTCTAATAATTGGTTCGTAGCCCCCCGTAATACAATAGTACAGGCTTCTCCAGCAGCAACCCCAGAGAATTTAATTAGCTGGATAAACGTATTTTCTCGATTTAGATATATTAATTGTATAGGTGAGAAGACAATCATTCTAAATAACATGCCTTATCTTCCCCAATCATAACCTCTTCAATAAGGTCACAATATCCCAATGTTACGAGTTCCGGATG